GCTCCACAGCAGAGCAGGAGTGAGGGAGCCCTCCCACTCCCAGCCCCCTCCCTGCCTCCTCTGCCCCTGGCCGACCCCAGGAGCTCCAGCCCACCTGCTTTGGGGGGCAGGCACCCTCCTCTTCCAGAGCCCCTTCCAGGGCCGCGCGCCCCGCCCTCAGCCCCTCGCCCGTGTCGCGCCCGCAGGACCCGCTGCCCTGGGCCGTGTGCCCCCTGAACGCCAACCGCACGGGCTTCGAGGAGGAGTGCGAGAAGGCGTCGTCCACGCAGTACTTCTGGTACCGGAAGACGCTCAACATCTCGCCGGGCATCGAGGCGGGCGGCGGCGTGCAGTGGGAGCCGGCGCTGTGCCTGCTGCTGGCCTGGCTGCTGGTCTACCTGTGCATCCTGCGCGGCACCGAGTCCACCGGCAAGGTGGGCGGCCCGGGCCGGGCGGTGCAGGACTTCCTGCCGGCTGAAAGAGGCTTCGTTCGGGACCAGCCCCGTCCTGCTGTCCACGCTGGTTCCGGACCCCTCACGTTAAAGCCCGCGAGCCATTTCCTGGGCCTCTGTTAGAATGTTTTCCTTTTTTCCCCCCTCTCTTAATTGCCAGGGTGGTTGTGCTCACCAGAGAGCGAGACACAGAGACAGAGGGAGAAAACCCGGTGATGGGATATGGCTTGTCGAAATCCCTTCCATTTCTCCATCCTGTCTGGGTTTGAGACATGCACGCAGGTGTTTTTCAGGCGTCCAGGGCCAGGATTTGAACCACCATGGGTAGTGTGGGATCCAGCCCCCTTAATCACTAGGCTAAGAGGCTGGCTTGAACCTCCCTTTTCCTCCCCAGGATGTTTGTGTATGAGTCAGAAATGCTTTCTCCCGCTAGGCTGGGCTGGGTCATGTGTCTGGCAGGCCCCCATTCCGTAGGGGAGAGGCAAGCGGCCACGGATGGGGCTCCTGAGAGCCCCCCGGAAGGGGCTCACCAGAAGGGAAGGAGGAAATTGCAGGGGCTTGCCCATGGCGTCCTCTGGTCCCTGCCGTGGTGGACATTGGTCACTGCCCCACCCCCGCCGTCCCCGTGCCTTCAGATCACAGGCCAGGCGCCCCGTCTGTCCCCTCCCCGGCCCATCTCGTGCCATCACGGAGGGTTTATGACCTCTCCACTTACAGTGACCTCTGCCAAGAAGCAACGAGACACACCCCATCTCGCTGCCACCCCAGGGTGAAAGGGCACAGAGCACCCCTCTGGGGCCTTGGAAGTTCCTGGGAGGTGGCGCCACACCTCGGGAGGGAGCGTGGGGGCATTTCACGGGGCCAGCAGCTGTGCTTGTCCCCGTGGACCCAGCCCTGGGGCGCTAGTGTACGTAGGAGTCAATCTGCAGGAAGAAGGCTGGCCCTGGGTGGGTCTCTGAGAGTCGGGATGACCAGGGCACGGCCGGCCTCGCACAGCCGGCGGACGCGGAACTGCAGTGAGGGAGCCGAGGCCGACTGCAGGTTCGGATCCCGGCCTTGTCGACTTCCAAGGCTTTCCATGTGCACGAGCATTTCTGCAATCCTGTTGCGCCGGAGGCCTGGGAGAGGGGAGGGCGCCAAGACCACCCCGCACACGCCCTGCAGTGAGTAAAGTCAAACAGTTGGAGATGCTCCTGCTCACTACCAAGAACTGAAAACAAAGCACCATCAGGGAGCCAGCAGAGGCGTGGCGGTTAAGGTGGCTGGACTCCCATACGATTGACCGCCATTCGAGTCCTAGACCCGGAGGCTTGAAAATCACATTGAGCATGCGTGCCTGATTTGGTGTGTGTGCCCAAAATCCTGAGAGGAGATTAGAGGAGAGGGGACTGTGGCGTGGCTGTCCTCTCTGGGGGATGATTTCTCACTTTCCCTCTGTTTCTCTTTGTTTCTCTCTTCAAAGAGCACACACACCCTACTGCAAAAATCTTTAAAAATCATTGTTTGGGATGCACGAAAGTTCCATTTATGTAGTTTTTAAAGTCCAAGGAAATGAGGCCTTTCATGAGGGTTGCTATAGAAATATCTGCTCACTGACTTTCTCGTTGGGTTTATTAAGGGGACATTGTCCCCCCAAGTCCCAAGCCACTGCTTCTCTTCTGCGAGTACCCCAGACCCTGGAAGCCTGGCCTTCCCCAAACCAGGTCTGTCCCCTGTTAGAGTCAGCATGCATCTGGCAAGACGTGCTTCCTGCTTTGCTTAGGCCACCGGGAAGCTCAGGGTGGGAGCGGCTGGCAGAGGGAGAGACCCACATCTGCACTGTGGGTGCTTCTCTTCCGGCCCTTCGCCAGGCTCAGCTTTGCCTGCCACACCGATCTCCGTACCTAGTCATTAAAAAGGTGCTGTGACCCGGACGGTCTCGTGGGCACCTCGGATGCTGTCTGGAGTAGGCCAGGCGGAGGGAGGTGGGGCAGGGGCCGTCGGTGAGCCTCCTCTCTCCTCCACTCCTCCACGGGGAAGCCGCAGTCCCTGCAGGTGTCCTGCTGATCCGACTCTCAGCAGCCCCAGGGCTCCCGGAGGCTGACGCTGCCCTCTGGCGCCCCCAGGTGGTGTATTTCACGGCGTCGCTGCCCTACTGCGTGCTCCTCATCTACCTGGTTAGGGGCCTCACACTGCACGGAGCCACCAACGGCCTGGTCTACATGTTCACCCCCAAGGTACGGACGCCGCCCCCAGTCTCCCTGCCACCTCTGGGGCGATCAGAAAGGGGCGTGCCCAGGGAGCCTGCTGGGACCCGCCAGGCCAGGCAGGAAGGGTGGTCAGCCAGGGAGTCCCCACGCCCTGGAGATTCTGGGGCACCCCCAAGGCCCCCAGCTGACTCCGGCCAGCCCTGCTGTGGCCAGCCTGCCCTCCCCTTCCTCAGCCCTGTGCGGGCTGACTGGGCTGCTAGCTCACACGCTCATGCACCCCTTCCCCGGGGGGTTCCATGACCCTGCCCGCACCCCAGCAGCCCTCAGCAGTGCCCGCCAGTGAGGGGCGCTATTGGTTTTAGGTGGGACCAGGTCTTCATTTAGCAAAACTGGACTCTGTAAACGAAATGGCTATAGCTTCCCCCAAGTGGCCCACCCTCTCCCAAATGCCCCTGATATCAGAGCTGGGATTGGCCCAGACCTGGACTCGCTGCTAGGCCACACCTGTCCCCGAAGGCCCAGACCCCTGCACGCGTGCTCAGGGCTGCCCCGCAGGTCTGCATGCTCGTACCCGCCGTTGGCTGCGTGCCCACAGGCCTGCAGCTGGGACCGTGATGGGAGAAAGTCTTGTCTCCTCGGCAGCCTGCTCGAAAGGCAGGCC